ATCTCATCTTCTCAGTTCCACCCATCTCATCTTCTCAGTTCCACCCATCTCATCTTCTCAGTTCCACCCATCTCATCTTGTCAGTTCCACCCATCTCATCTTCTCAGTTCCACCCATCTCATCTTGTCAGTTCCACCCATCTCATCTTGTCAGTTCCACCCATCTCATCTTCTCAGTTCCACCCATCTCATCTTCTCAGTTCCACCCATCTCATCTTGTCAGTTCCACCCATCTCATCTTGTCAGTTCCACCCATCTCATCTTCTCAGTTCCACCCATCTCATCTTCTCAGTTCCACCCATCTCATCTTCTCAGTTCCACCCATCTCATCTTCTCAGTTCCACCCATCTCATCTTGTCAGTTCCACCCATCTCATCTTCTTAGTTCCACCCATCTCATCTTGTCAGTTCCACCCATCTCATCTTCTCAGTTCCACCCATCTCATCTTGTCAGTTCCACCCATCTCATCTTCTCAGTTCCACCCATCTCATCTTGTCAGTTCCACCCATCTCATCTTCTCAGTTCCACCCATCTCATCTTGTCAGTTCCACCCATCACATCTTGTCAGTTCCACCCATCTCATCTTCTCAGTTCCACCCATCTCATCTTGTCAGTTCCACCCATCTCATCTTGTCAGTTCCACCCATCTCATCTTCTCAGTTCCACCCATCTCATCTTGTCAGTTCCACCCATCTCATCTTGTCAGTTCCACCCATCTCATCTTGTCAAATCCACCCATCTCATCTTGTCAGTTCCACCCATCTCATCTTGTCAGTTCCACCCATCTCATCTTGTCAGTTTCACCCATCTCATCTCATCAGTTCCACCCATCTCATCTTGTCAGTTCCACCCATCTCATCTTGTCAGTTCCACCCATCTCATCTTGTCAGTTCCACCCACCTCATCTTGTGAGTTCCACCCATCTTATCTTGTCAGTTCCACCCATCTCATCTTGTCAGTTCCACCCATCTCATCTTCTCAGTTCCACCCATCTCATCTTGTCAGTTTCACCCATCTCATCTTGTCAGTTCCACCCATCTCATCTTGTCAGTTCCACCCATCTCATCTTCTCAGTTCCACCCATCTCATCTTGTCAGTTCCACCCATCTCATCTTCTCAGTTCCACCCATCTCATCTTGTCAGTTCCACCCATCTCATCTTGTCAGTTCCACCCATCTCATCTTCTCAGTTCCACCCATCTCAGCTTGTCAGTTCCACCCATCTCATCTTTTCAGTTCCACCCATCTCATCTTGTCAGTTCCACCCATCTCATCTTGTCAGTTCCACCCATCTCATCTTGTCAGTTCCACCCATCTCATCTTGTCAGTTTCACCCATCTCATCTCATCAGTTCCACCCATCTCATCTTGTCAGTTCCACCCATCTCATCTTGTCAGTTCCACCCATCTCATCTTGTCAGTTCCACCCATCTCATCTTGTCAGTTCCACCCATCTTATCTTGTCAGTTCCACCCATCTCATCTTGTCAGTTCCACCCATCTCATCTTCTCAGTTCCACCCATCTCAGCTTGTCAGTTTCACCCATCTCATCTTGTTAGTTCCACCCATCTCATCTTGTGAGTTCCACCCATCTCATCTTGTCAGTTCCACCCATCTTATCTTGTCAGTTTCACCCATCTCATCTTGTCAGTTCCACCCATCTCATCTTCTCAGTTCCACCCATCTCATCTTCTCAGTTCCACCCATCTCATCTTCTCAGTTCCACCCATCTCATCTTCTCAGTTCCACCCATCTCATCTTGTCAGTTCCACCCATCTCATCTTGTCAGTTCCACCCATCTCATCTTGTCAGTTCCACCCATCTCATCTTGTCAGTTCCACCCATCTCATCTTCTCAGTTCCACCCATCTCATCTTGTCAGTTCCGCCCATCTCATCTTGTCAGTTCCACCCATCTCCTCTTGTCAGTTCCACCCATCTCATCTTGTCAGTTCCACCCATCTCATCTTCTCAGTTCCACCCATCTCATCTTCTCAGTTCCACCCATCTCATCTTGTCAGTTCCACCCATCTCATCTTCTCAGTTCCACCCATCTCATCTTGTCAGTTCCACCCATCTCATCTTGTCAGTTCCACCCATCTCATCTTCTCAGTTCCACCCATCTCATCTTGTCAGTTCCACCCATCTCATCTTCTCAGTTCCACCCATCTCATCTTCTCAGTTCCACCCATCTCATCTTCTCAGTTCCACCCATCTCATCTTCTCAGTTCCACCCATCTCATCTTCTCAGTTCCACCCATCTCATCTTCTCAGTTCCACCCATCTCATCTTGTCAGTTCCACCCATCTCATCTTCTCAGTTCCACCCATCTCATCTTATCAGTTCCACCCATCTCATCTTGTCAGTTCCACCCATCTCATCTTCTCAGTTCCACCCATCTCATCTTCTCAGTTCCACCCATCTCATCTTGTCAGTTCCACCCATCTCATCTTGTCAGTTCCACCCATCTCATCTTCTCAGTTCCACCCATCTCATCTTCTCAGTTCCACCCATCTCATCTTCTCAGTTCCACCCATCTCATCTTCTCAGTTCCACCCATCTCATCTTGTCAGTTCCACGCATCTCATCTTCTCAGTTCCACCCATCTCATCTTGTCAGTTCCACCCATCTCATCTTCTCAGTTCCACCCATCTCATCTTGTCAGTTCCACCCATCTCATCTTCTCAGTTCCACCCATCTCATCTTGTCAGTTCCACCCATCTCATCTTCTCAGTTCCACCCATCTCATCTTGTCAGTTCCACCCATCTCATCTTGTCAGTTCCACCCATCTCATCTTCTCAGTTCCACCCATCTCATCTTGTCAGTTCCACCCATCTCATCTTCTCAGTTCCACCCATCTCATCTTGTCAGTTCCACCCATCTCATCTTGTCAGTTCCACCCATCTCATCTTCTCAGTTCCACCCATCTCAGCTTGTCAGTTCCACCCATCTCATCTTTTCAGTTCCACCCATCTCATCTTGTCAGTTCCACCCATCTCATCTTGTCAGTTCCACCCATCTCATCTTGTCAGTTCCACCCATCTCATCTTGTCAGTTTCACCCATCTCATCTCATCAGTTCCACCCATCTCATCTTGTCAGTTCCACCCATCTCATCTTGTCAGTTCCACCCATCTCATCTTGTCAGTTCCACCCATCTCATCTTGTCAGTTCCACCCATCTTATCTTGTCAGTTCCACCCATCTCATCTTGTCAGTTCCACCCATCTCATCTTCTCAGTTCCACCCATCTCATCTTGTCAGTTTCACCCATCTCATCTTGTTAGTTCCACCCATCTCATCTTGTCAGTTCCACCCATCTCATCTTGTCAGTTCCACCCATCTCATCTTGTCAGTTTCACCCATCTCATCTTGTCAGTTCCACCCATCTCATCTTCTCAGTTCCACCCATCTCATCTTCTCAGTTCCACCCATCTCATCTTCTCAGTTCCACCCATCTCATCTTCTCAGTTCCACCCATCTCATCTTCTCAGTTCCACCCATCTCATCTTCTCAGTTCCACCCATCTCATCTTGTCAGTTCCACCCATCTCATCTTGTCAGTTCCACCCATCTCATCTTGTCAGTTCCACCCATCTCATCTTCTCAGTTCCACCCATCTCATCTTGTCAGTTCCACCCATCTCATCTTCTCAGTTCCACCCATCTCATCTTCTCAGTTCCACCCATCTCATCTTGTCAGTTCCACCCATCTCATCTTGTCAGTTCCACCCATCTCATCTTGTCAGTTCCACCCATCTCATCTTCTCAGTTCCACCCATCTCATCTTCTCAGTTCCACCCATCTCATCTTGTCAGTTCCACCCATCTCATCTTCTCAGTTCCACCCATCTCATCTTCTCAGTTCCACCCATCTCATCTTCTCAGTTCCACCCATCTCATCTTCTCAGTTCCACCCATCTCATCTTCTCAGTTCCACCCATCTCATCTTCTCAGTTCCACCCATCTCATCTTCTCAGTTCCACCCATCTCATCTTCTTAGTTCCACCCATCTCATCTTGTCAGTTCCACCCATCTCATCGTCTCAGTTCCACCCATCTCATCTTGTCAGTTCCACCCATCTCATCTTGTCAGTTCCACCCATCTCATCTTGTCAGTTCCACCCATCTCATCTTGTCAGTTCCACCCATCTCATCTTGTCAGATCCACCCATCTCATCTTGTCAGTTCCACCCATCTCATCTTGTCAGTTCCACCCATCTCATCTTGTCAGTTCCACCCATCTCATCTTGTCAGTTCCACCCATCTCATCTTCTCAGTTCCACCCTTCTCATCTTGTCAGTTCCACCCATCTCATCTTGTCAGTTCCACCCATCTCATCTTCTCAGTTCCACCCATCTCATCTTCTCAGTTCCACCCATCTCATCTTGTCAGTTCCACCCATCTCATCGTCTCAGTTCCACCCATCTCATCTTGTCAGTTCCACCCATCTCATCTTGTCAGTTCCACCCATCTCATCTTGTCAGTTCCACCCATCTCATCTTGTCAGTTCCACCCATCTCATCTTGTGAGATCCACCCATCTCATCTTGTCAGTTCCACCCATCTCATCTTGTCAGTTCCACCCATCTCATCTTGTCAGTTCCACCCATCTCATCTTGTCAGTTCCACCCATCTCATCTTGTCAGTTCCACCCATCTCATCTTGTCAGATCCACCCATCTCATCTTGTCAGTTCCACCCATCTCATCTTGTCAGATCCACCCATCTCATGGACCTCTCAGGAACCCTCTCCTTGTTTCCGTTCCATTCAGTACCGGTCCTTGCTTCGTCAGTCATGCTGTCCGTGCCCATCCCAATCCAACCATGCATGCAACCCAACCATGCATGCAACCCAACCATGCATGCAACCCAACCATGCATGCAACCCAACCATGCATGCAACCCAACCATGCATGCAACCCAACCATGCATGCAACCCAACCATGCATGCAACCAGGTTCATGTCACATGTGGCCCGCATGTCACCATCCAAGGACTTGGGTTTCACTATGGAGCGAATCAACGCCAACTTCAGCAACTACAGCGCGTGGCACGGCCGCAGGTGAGTCGTTCAGCTAGGACACGCATGCTCAAAGGGTGCTAGGAGGTGTATCAGGACCTGACCAACTTCTTTCGTCTGTGCGCAACCAAGGACCTGGCCTTATGCTCTTCACCATGCATCAAATCGAATCAACGCCAACTTCAGCAACTACAGCGCGTGGCACAGCAGGACGTGAGACGAGGGAGGGGAGGAGGGAGGAGAGAAACAGCTGCGTCCAAGCCAGGGCTGTCCCAGGCAGCCCTGTGAGTTAAACCGTGTGAGCGATTTTTTAGAACTCTCTAATATTGCTTAGCCAGGACTATCCCAGGCAGCCCTGTGAGTTGGTGCGGCAGGCCTTCTTCACCGAGCCTGACGACCAGAGCGGGTGGATGTATCAGCACTGGCTGCTGCAGCAGATCCTGCTGCCCCTGCCGCCCCTGCCGCCCCTGCTGCCCCTGCCGCCCTAGTTTTCTTCCCCTCCGCTCTCAACCCCTTTGCGTTCCCTCTTCCCCCTTTCGCTCCGCCCAACAGCAAGCTGCTACCAATGCTCCACGCGTGCCCACCACCACCAACCACGCCCACTGCACCAGAGGCAAAGGGGTTGCCGCAGGCAGCATTGGAGGAGGAGTGTGAGTTGGTGCGCCAGGCCTTCTTTACGGAGCCAGATGATCAGAGTGGGTGGATGTACCAGCATTGGCTGCTGCAGCAGATCCTGCCGCCCCTGCCGCCCCGCCTCCTCTCCTCCTGGCCTTCGCCTGGAAGCACTGTCTGCTACTCCTCACCAGAAAATCCACCTGAGAAATCTTCTGGAGGCGATTCTGCAGCTGGGGAGGGCGTTTCCGAATCCTCTCCCAGAGCTCCGAGGCGGGTTCGGATGTCGGCGGTGCTGGTGTTCTCCGAACCTGTGGTGGGGGTGACAAGAGAGAGTGTGACTCTAACGGGGGCTGGGATGGAGGTTGGCGAGTGGAGGGCTGTGGGGGGCGAAGAGGCGTGGCTTTCCGGGCGGCAGTCTGGCTGTGAGAGGGAAACGGGCGGCGATGTGGGGCCGAAGAGTGCGTCTGTATGGATGGCGCAAGTCGTTTTCTCCACATCTCATGAAGTCAGAGCAGCTGCTGCTTCCACTGCAGCTACTGATGCTGCTTTCACTGCAGCTACTGATGCTGCTTCTTCTGCTGCTTCTGCGGGTGGGAGGGAAACAGGTGCGGCTGCCTCATCACCCACCATCCTGGTCTCGTGGGTGTTCGCCCATCCATCTGCCATCCGCTCTGCTGCCACTTGCCAGTCCCTCCTGCTCCCCCACACGGACAGAACCTGCAGCAACGGTGGCAACGGCAGCAGCAGCTTCACGCTACAGCTGCAAGGAAGCTCGTTGATTCTGCCACAGATGGATGTTTCTGAGACCAATGGCACTCACTCGCAAGCGACTGTGCCGCCCGTGAACTTCCCCACTCATGACTGGTCCAACTTCCGCTGGCCCTCCTCCTCCCCTTCGCCTCCTCCCCCTGCTGCTGCTGCTGCTGCTGCTGCTGCTGCTGCTGCTGCTGCTGCTCCTGCTCCTGCTGCGCCTGCTGCTGCTGATGGTGATGTTGCTGCCAGTGGTGCTGCCGCTAGTGCTGGTGATGCTGCAGGAGGGAGCGAGCAGTGGCGAGTGGATGTGGTCCAACGGGAGATTGACATGTGTCGCGAGCTCATTGACCTGGAACCAGACAGGTGTGTGCGTGGTATTCAGTGCGATGTGTCGTGTGACTTGGACCATGCCGTGTCTGTGTGGTGTGGTCCCTCCAACACCAAGAAGAATAGCTCAACCCATTTCTCGTATCCCGTCTCCTTTCCTCCTGCTTCCAGCTTCGGTTCCTCTCTCGCACTCTCAAACCCAAAACCCCGCTCCCCTTCCCTTCCTGCTCCCCCTTGCTTGCAGCAAGTTAGCTATCCCCTCCTTCGCCCACCTGTTCTCCACTTCTTGAGTCAACTAAAACAATCCCCCATTCCCCCCTCCCTGCTTCCGCCCCTTTCCAACCCTTCAACCATCGTCTTCCAGCAAGTGGGCTCTCCTCTCTCTCTCCCGCCTCCTCTCCACTCATTGAGTCAAATGTCCTCCTACTCTCCCCCCTCCCCCCTCCACCCCTTCCCCCCCCCCCCCCTCTCCTCGCTCTTCCAGCAAGTGGGCTCTCCTCTCTCTCGCCCGCCTCCTCTCCACACGCCGCCAGCTCCACCACCTCTTGCCGAACCTACCCGTGCAGGCTCGGCAAGATGCCGAGGCTTGTGAAGAGGTTCGGTCGTTGCTTCGACGGCTGGTGGGGATTGACCCATACCACAAGGAGTATTACCGAGACCTACTAGAAGCGCTGGAGGGGGATGAGGTGAGTAAGGGTGTGTGTCTAAGAGGAGCATGATGTCTGTGTCGACTCTGGTCAAAAGGTGGGGGTCGATCCATACTACAAGGAGTATTACCGGGACCTGCTAGAAGCGCTGGAGGGGGATGAGGTGAGTAAGGGTGTGTGTACGGAGAGTGTGTGTAAGGAGAGTGTGTGAAAAGGTGAGGGTGTGTGTGCAAGAATTGGGGTTGTGAATGAGGTGAGGAACAGCAACAGCATTGGCTGGTGGGGATTGGTCCATATCACCAGGAGTATTACCGGGACCTGCTAGAAGCACTGGAGGGAGAGGAGGTGAGGAGGGTGTGTGAATGAGGTGAGGGTGTTTGGATGAGTGTCCCACGTGGGGTTGAGTGAGTGTCCAACGTGGGGGTGAGTGAGTGCCCCACGTGGGGGTGAGTGAGTGTCCCATGTGGGGGTGAATGAGTGCCCCACGTGGGGGTGAGTGAGTGTCCCATGTGGGGGTGAGTGAGTGCCCCACGTGGGAGTGAGTGAGTGCCCCACGTGGGGGTGAGTGAGTGCCCCACGTGGGAGTGAGTGAGTGCCCCACGTGGGGGTGAGTGAGTGCCCCACGTGGGAGTGAGTGAGTGCCCCACGTGGGAGTGAGTGAGTGCCCCACGTGGGGGTGAGTGAGTGCCCCACGTGGGGGGTGAGCGCTCACCTGGGGGTGAAAGCCCGTGTGTGTCTAACCGGACCTTAGGTTTTCAATCTTGTCCCCTCGTTTGTCTCACACATCTTTGCACCTCCTCCCATTGCCCCCATCTCCAATTCACCCCATCAGGACACACCCACCACAATAAACACAACCAACACCTCCAGCAGCAGCAGCAGCAGCAGCACCAGCATCAGCACCACCACCACCACAGTGTGTCTGTCCCATCGGCACCTCTCCTGCCTGCCAGCGTCCCACCGCCTGCTGCCAGTCTCCACGCTGCTCCTCGACCACAACCGCATCTCCACCCTCACAGGTGTGTCGCCCAAAAAGTAGTCACAAAAGAATCGCACACAACCGCACCACAACACCTGCAGCAGTCTGCTGCCAGTCTCCACGCTGCTCCTCGACCACAACCGCATCTCCACCCTCACAGGTGCGCCGCTCCTCTCGCCCACCTCCCCTCTCTGCATGCTCTGGTAACATCCCAACACTTATCTGCGCAAGCTCCCTCCGCCCAACCCCCCCAGGATTCGAGGCGCTTCAGAATCTGCAAGTGCTGGACCTCTCCCACAACCACATCGCCTTCTCCTCAGCCATCGCTCCTCTCGCCCACCTGCCCGCCCTCCGCACTCTCTCCCTCGCCCACAACCTCCTCGGAGCCAAACCAGTCGACCGCCACCGCTACTGCCACCCCTCCCCACGATGCTCCCGCCACCACCAATATTGCCACCCCTCTCCATGGTTGCTTCCCTCCCCCCCCCCATCTGTTCCCCTCTCCTCCCGTCTGTTCACTTCTCCCATCTGTTCCCTCCCATCCCCTCCCCCTTCCATCCTCCAGGTTTTGAGGCGCTTCAGAATCTGCAAGTCCTGGACCTCTCTCACAACAGCATCGCCTTCTCATCAGCCATCGCTCCTCTCGCCCACCTGCCCGCCCTCCGCGCTCTCTCCCTGGCTCACAACCTCCTGGGAGGCAAACCAGTTGACCGCCACCGCTACTGCCACCCCTCCCCACGATGCAACCGGTTCCCCTCTTGGAACATGCCAAGTAACAGCACGGGGGACGAAGTTTCCTCGTCTGCCGAAGCAGCAGCAGCAGCAGCAGCAACAGTGGATCTGGTTCAGCAGCATCCGAACCTGTGGACGGTGCTGCAATGCCTGGGCGGGCTGCGCCAGGTGGCAGTGCTTGATTTGACGGGGAATCCTGTTTGTCAGTGGGATGGGTATCGGCAGCTGGTTCTTTCCCTGCTGCCACAGCTGGTTCTCTTCGATGGGGGCTCTGTGTGAAGCAGCGCTGCTGCTGGTGCTGCTCCAGATGCGGCTGCGGTTGGTTCATTCTCTGCTGCCATAGTTAGTGCTCAATGGAGGGTGTGTGACGGGTGGAGGTGGGGAAGGACACTGCTCTAAGCACTCCTGCTGCACAGTTCTACTACCGTAAGTCTTGATTCTCCTGCTGCATTTGATGCCCTCCCGGATTCGTGTGAGCACAAGGCCTTGAAAGTGAGGCCATGAAAAATGCGACTGTCCTTGTTGCCGTGTTGGTTCGTCTAGTGAGCAACTCTAATGTCATTGAAGAAACTCTTTCTGATGGAATGGAACATTACAAAAGCATTCTCTTTCCTAGCCTAATGTATTACGTTACCTAGCTGCACATACGGTATTTCCTAGTGTAGGTGCATGCATGAGAGGTGCTTCTGCAATGTTCCCACACCACCCCCATCATCATAGACTGTCCTTGTTGGAATGCAGTACAAGTCACACCCTTCCACCGATCACTCTCCCTGAGAGTGCCCCGTCAGCACCGGAGAATCCGAAGTACAGGTCATCATTGGTGATCCCTTGGATCGATGCCAGCACATCCGCCACGTCAGCAGCTGACGCCCTGACGACATTGGCCAGCGACCAGGACACAGGGCTCATGGGCACCCACGTGCCAGGCAGGGCGAGGGCTGCTGAAGCAGCAGCGGTGCCGCAGGCGTTGCCCTTGAAGATGGCCTGCGAGTCCGGGGCCTTGGTCACTCCTGCTACGTACAGGTAGTATGTGAGCAGATAGTCCGAGCCACTGCATTGGGGGGGAGGTGAGGAGGTGGATGGAGGGAGGTGGAAGGGAACATGAGTCAGCAGGTTTGAACGATCTGAGTAGCACGAGTCAACACGAGTCAGCACGAGTCAGCACGAGTCAACACGAATCAGCATGAGTCAGCAAGAGTCAACTTACATCTTGAGGATCTGAATGTCAGCAGCGCCGGCTTGGAGAGACAGCAGGCCGTTGCATGACGTCAGCACGGCACGCAGCATGCCCGCCTGTTGGGGCAGAAGATTCGCGATATTCCCCACCACGCTGCTATTGACTCCAGCGCCGTTGAGAGCGGAATTCAAGGCGTTGAGCATCCCGGCGAGGGCGGACACGTTCCCGTTGAGCCCTGCCACTCGCTGCGTCACAGCCGCCAGCCGCTGCCTCACCGCCGCGCGGATCGCCGCGCTCCGGCTCGCGGAAGCCGCAGCGGTGGCTGCACTAGACAAGCCCACCGAGCCTACGCGTGAGCCTAAGGCCGAGCCTGCGCCCGAGCCTACTCCCGAGCCGATTATCCCCGCCAGGTCCTTGTTCAGAGCGGCGATGCTGGTGCTGATGGAGGAAATGTTGGATCGAATCCCCGAGATCTGGGAAATCAGATCCGTGAAGTTCAGATTTGACCCTGAGATGTTCAGCGCGTTCAGATTAACGAGGCTCGCGTTTAAAGCAGCGAGGTTGGATTTTAGCGCGGATATCTGCGCCTGGAGTGCAGCGTCTGCGGAAGCGTTGCTGCTGAGGGCCGCCGAGATCTGATCGAGCGATTTCTCGAGAAGCGCGTCGAGAGATGTGATCTGGCCGTTGAGGGACGACTGGAGGCCTGAGAGCGTCGAGTTGAACGCCGCTGCGGGGCTGCTGCTGCTTGCTGCTGCGACGGCCGCCGCGACGGCTGAATTCAAGCCGGGTGGAAGACGGTTGGTGGGTAGACTTCCGACGCCGGGAAGAAATCGGCCAGCTTCGACTCGTGGTGTTGCCAAAAGCACTGGATTGAATGACAAAACGAAGAAAGATGAGTTTCCGAGGACAAAATGCGACTGAAAGTTCGTGACATACATGTTGTTCATGTGTAGCGCGTGAAGAGGTGCTCTCTGGTGCTGAATAGCTTGGCTTGGCGAAGTGGCTCACCTGTGAGGACCAGAGCGACAAGCCCGAGTAGCGTGGAAGGAGCTGCTGTGCGTGCCATGATGAGTGTCGAGCTACTATTTTTTTAATCGAAGATTGAGTACTAGTAAGTGGTTGAAGAGAGCTCAGGGAGGCGCTGTTCGCTTAACAATCTAAGATTGGAACGAAAATCGCTATGATCGGTGAGTGCGACGAAATGTGTGCACGAGTTGTTGTTATCAGTGTCTGAGGTAGTGTGGTGCTGGAATGCTGATTTGGGTTGCGTTGTGAGAGTTGACGCCCAGATCTTTTCTGGTGCTCAATTTATATGTTCCTGCGAGACTGCGTGGAGACCTTGGAATTGCAAGGCTTTTGTGCGGTGGAGCTAGAAATTTCGGAAATTTCTGTCCGGACCGCAGATTGCGTGCGTCTGATTGGTTTACCTCCTCTCATCGAGGCGCACGCGGAGTGGCTGGGAGCGGTGCTGTGAGCGAGAGGTTGGTGGTCGGTCGGTCGGAGGATGGTGAGGGCGGAAGGGAGCGTGAATGCAGTTGAATGGACGGGGCAATTGCACCGAAAATGGCAAGCGAATTGCATTGATAAGGGCGTGTTACATTTTCGATTTTTCCGTGCGGTCCGGACATTAACCACTCTGAAACAAACTGAAACCCACTTGAACAAAACGTTTAACAAAAAAAACCAATTTGACCGTTCAGACGGTCCGGTCCGTTTGGGAAAAACCGAAAATGTAGCACGCCCTAAGACACAGTCCTTTCGTTTCTGTTTCGCAACGCTGTACACTTTCATATATAGAAATATCTTCCTAGGTAGTACAAGACATGAGTTTTATGGGCTCTGGCCCAACTCACATATCAGATTCCCTCCACGCTAGAGAAATTCTACCACAATGTTGAACGGTGTTACGGGTGCAATGAATCAAAGTAGCGAGAATTGCACTAAGGTGTCAAACGAGTACCAAATGTGAGCGAAGGCATGAGCGAACATTTATACGCGAAACATGCAAACGGTAACGCGGTGCGTGCGAGCTTAGCTAGTGCTACGCTCGAGCAAGGCTTGGGCTAGTCCCGAAGCGTAGGCCGACACGGCCATGCCAGCAGTGCGAGGTTTGGTGAAAACAGTGTGCGTGAAGTCGGCGAAGCCCCGTTAGCAGTAACGGGCGAACAACGGTTGTTGCTGTACGCGATGTAGTCGGCCTCCGTAAGGAATGCCGAGAAAATTCCTTACACTACCCCCCCCCCCCCCCCCCCCCCCCCCCCCCTCAAGAAGCCCCCTCCGCTACGCGAGTGCGTGTATATCGCGGAATCCCCAGCTCCTCAGGTACACTTGCAGGGCAGGGTGGTTTTCGATGTTGGCCAGGGGCACCCAGCTGTCCTCAGTTGGTGTGCGATCCTTCCAGCGGACGAGGAATTCAATCCTCTTGAGTCCCGTGGGGTGTCGAATCCAATGGCTCATGATTTTTTCGGGCTCGATGATCGGCTCCGATGCAGGGCGAGTCATGGATGGCGGGCGGTGGCGAGGCAGTTGGCTTGTGGTTGGGATGTAGGGGCGAAGCAAGCTGACGTGGAACGAAGGGCTGATGTACCAGTCGGTCGGTAACAGTAGGTGCGCGGTTACTGGCGTGATCATGTGGCTGATTTGGAATGGGCCACAGTAGCGCGGTCGAAGTTTTGGTACATCGGGCAGTCGCAGATTTTGCGTGTCGAGCAGTACGTAATCCCCTGACTGGTATGTGACTGGGCGGCGGTGGCGGTCAGCGTTGCGCTTAGCGATGGCGTTTGCTTTTTTAATTGCTTCTGCGGCTCTGGTGCGGGCAGCTTGCAGAATTTCGGCGAATTGCTGTGCTTGTGGTGTTGGGTTGTCAAGACTCGGCGTCATGGGCCCTGTAGGATTTTGCCCGTAGTTCAGGTAGAAGGGGGACTGCTGCGTCGTCGCTGACGTGGCATTATTGTACGCGAACTCGATCAGCGGCAGCTGCTGCTCCCAAGTCGTGGGGTCGTCGCACGTGGCACGAATCAACTGCTCCATCGTCTGATTCGTCCGCTCCGTTTGACCGTCGGTCTCGGGGTGGTACGACGAACTGAACTGCAGCCTGGTTCCGAACTGCTCCCAGAGGTTCTTCCAGAAGTTGCTGGTGAAATTCGTGTCCCTGTCGCTGATAATCGCTGCTGGTATCCCGTGCAGGCGAACAACGGCCGCGATGAACAGACGAGCGGTCTCCTCGGCTGAGATCGACTTTTTGCACGCAGCGAAGTGTGCCATCTTCGTCAACCTGTCAACGACGACCATCACCGTGTCGTTACTCCCAGGGTTCGAAGGTAACCCTGTGACGAAGTCCATGGTAACCTGCTGCGAGGCGCGCTCGGGCGGTGGTATCGGCTGCAATTGACCCGCCTTCCGCTTCCTTGAGCTCTTCATCACCTGACACGTGGGGCACGAGCCCACGTGCTGCTGTACGTCGGTCAACAGTTCTGGCCAGTAGTAATACCGCTGTAGTTGCTGTCGCGTTTTTTCTACCCCAAAATGTCCCGAGGTAATTCCGTCGTGTGCCTCCTGCAGTAGTAGCTCCCTCAGTAGTGAGTACGCGGGTACCCAGATGCGGTTGGTGCCTGTTTTTACGTAATAAACTCCTTTAGCTTCTGCCAGTTGCTGTGAATTTCCGGTCGTGAAGAATGGGTCAGTGCGGTATCCGTGGGTAAACAGGCCTATTAAAAGTGGGTTGGTCTGGGCGAGTAAGATGGCGTGGAGTTGGTGTCAGATTATTATGCTCTAGCCTGTAATGGGGTGCTCTATAGCGAGTACAACCCTTCTAGGTTTTGCTATTTGTATCCTCATTCTTGCTAGTGCAATTCTCTTCTTTCTTCTAAAATTTCACATGGTATCAGAGCAGGTCGATCCCCTTGGATCGATCCTGTGGGTGGGCTCACCACCTCGTTGCTTCCGCTGCAACTGCTACTGCTACTCTCTGTGCCGCCGCCGAGAAGCCAGCAGCTCCAGTCGCCCGTGAGACCGTTGCGCCAGTCGCCCGTGAGCCCGTTGCGCCAGTCGCCCGTGAGCCCGTTGCTCCAGTCGCCCGTGAGTCCGTTGCTCGTCTGCC